AGGAGACTGCTTGTTTAAAAACATTTTAACGTTTTAATGAACCTTCAAACATTTTTAAAAATGAACATTTAAACGTTGTAATGAAAATTTTAACGTTTTAATGAACCTTTAAACATTTTTAAAAATGAACATTTAAACGTTTTAATGAAAAATTTAATGTTTTGATGAACATTTAAACATTTTAATGAACATTTTAACGTTTTTAAAAATGAATATTTAAACATTTTAATGAAGATTTTAACATTTTAATAAACATTTTAACGTTTTAATGAACATTTTAGTGTTTTAATGAAAATTTTAACATTTAAAAAAATGAACATTTAACTGTTTTAATGAAGAATTTAACGTTTCAATGAACATTTAAACATTTTAATGATGATTTTAACATTTTAATGAACATTTTAACGTTTTAATGAACATTTAAACGTTTTAATGAAGATTTATATTCAACAAGCATATATATATTCTGATATATATCAGACATATATATCTTGTTTCTACATGATATCAGAAGGAGACTGCTTGTTTCTTTATGATGTCAGAAAGATACTGCTTGTTTCTTTATGATGTCAGAGGCAGACTGCTTGTTTCTTTATGATATCAGAAGGAGACAGCTTGTTTAAAAAAAATGAACATTTTAACGTTTTAATGAACCTTTAAACATTTTTAAAAATGAACATTTAAACGTTTTAATGAAGAATTTGATGTTTTAATGAACACTTAAACATTTTAATGAACATTTTAACGTTTTTAAAAATGAACATTTAAACGTTTTAATGAAGAATTTAACGTTTCAATGAACATTTTAACGCTTTAATGAACATTTTAATGTTTTAATGAACATTTTAACGTTAAAAAAAATGAACATTTAACCGTTTTAATGAAGAATTTAATGTTTCAATGAACATTTAAACATTTTAATGATGATTTTAACATTTTAATGAACATTTTAACGTTTTAATGAACATTTAAACGTTTTAATGAACATTAAAACGTTTTAATGAACATTTTAACGTTTTTAAAAATGAAGATTTTAACGTTTTAATAAAGATTTTAATTTTTTAATAAACATTTAAACGTTTTAATTAATAATTTAACGTTTTAATGAAAAATTTAACATTTTAATGAACCTTTTATTGTTTTATAAAATGAACATTTAAACATTTTAATGAAGAATTTAACGTTTTAATGGACATTTAAACGTTTTCATGAACATTTTAACGTTTTTAAAAAATGAAAATTTAAACGTTTTAATGAAGATTTAAACGTATTAATGATGATTTTAACGTTTTTAAAAATGAAAATTTAAACGTTTTAATGAAGATTTATATTCAACAAGTATATATATATTCTGATATATATCAGACATATATATCTTGTTTCTACATGATATCAGAAGGAGACTGCTTGTTTGTTTATGATGTCAGAAGGAGACTGCTTGTTTCTTTATGATGTCAGAGGAAGACTGCTTGTTTCTTTATGATGTCAGAAGGAGACTGCTTGTTTCTTTATGAGATCATCAAGGCACTGCTTGTTTCTTTATGATATCATCAAGGTACTGCTTGTTTCTACATGATATCAGAAGGAGACTGCTTGTTTAAAAAAAATGAACATTTTAACGTTTTAATGAACATTTTAATGTTTTAATGAAGATTTTAACATTTTAATGAACATTTAAACATTTTAATGAACATTTTTACGTTTTTTAAAAATGAACATTTAAACGTTTTAATGAAGATTTATATTCAACAAGCATATATATATTCTGATATATATCAGACATATATATCTTGTTTCTACATGATATCAGAAGGAGCCTGCTTGTTTCTTTATGATGTCAGAAAGATACTGCTTGTTCTTTATGATATCAGAGGCAGACTGCTTGTTTCTTTATGATGTCAGAAGGAGACTGCTTGTTTCTTTATGATGTCAGAAAGATACTGCTAGTTTCTTTATGATGTCAGAGGCAGACTGCTTGTTTCTTTATGATGTCAGAAGGAGACTGCTTGTTTCTTTATGATGTCAGAAAGATACTGCTTGTTTCTTTATGATGTCAGAGTTAGACTGCTTGTTTCTTTATGATATCAGAAGGAGACTGCTTGTTTAAAAACATTTTAACGTTTTAATGAACCTTCAAACATTTTTAAAAATGAACATTTAAACGTTGTAATGAAAATTTTAACGTTTTAATGAACCTTTAAACATTTTTAAAAATGAACATTTAAACGTTTTAATGAAAAATTTAATGTTTTGATGAACATTTAAACATTTTAATGAACATTTTAACGTTTTTAAAAATGAATATTTAAACATTTTAATGAAGATTTTAACATTTTAATGAACATTTTAACGTTTTAATGAACATTTTAGTGTTTTCATGAAAATTTTAACATTTAAAAAAATGAACATTTAACTGTTTTAATGAAGAATTTAACGTTTCAATGAACATTTAAACATTTTAATGATGATTTTAACATTTTAATGAACATTTTAACGTTTTAATGAACATTTAAACGTTTTAATGAAGATTTATATTCAACAAGCATATATATATTCTGATATATATCAGACATATATATCTTGTTTCTACATGATATCAGAAGGAGACTGCTTGTTTCTTTATGATGTCAGAAAGATACTGCTTGTTTCTTTATGATGTCAGAGGCAGACTGCTTGTTTCTTTATGATATCAGAAGGAGACAGCTTGTTTAAAAAAAATGAACATTTTAACGTTTTAATGAACCTTTAAACATTTTTAAAAATGAACATTTAAACGTTTTAATGAAGAATTTGATGTTTTAATGAACACTTAAACATTTTAATGAACATTTTAACGTTTTTAAAAATGAACATTTAAACGTTTTAATGAAGAATTTAACGTTTCAATGAACATTTTAACGCTTTAATGAACATTTTAATGTTTTAATGAACATTTTAACGTTAAAAAAAATGAACATTTAACCGTTTTAATGAAGAATTTAACGTTTCAATGAACATTTAAACATTTTACTGATGATTTTAAGATTTTAATGAACATTTTAACGTTTTAATGAACATTTAAACGTTTTAATGAACATTTTAACGTTTTAATGAACCTTTTTAACATTTTTAAAAATGAAGATTTTAACGTTTTTATGACGATTTTAACGTTTTAATGAACATTTAAACATTTTAATGAACATTTAAACGTTTTAATGAACATTTAAACGTTTTAATGAACATTTTAACGTTTTTAAAAATGAAGATTTTAACGTTTTAATAAAGATTATAATGTTTTAATGAACATTTAAATGTTTTAATAAACATTTTTACAATTTAATGAACATTTCAACGTTTTAATGAACCTTTAAACGTTTTAATGAACATTTTAACATTTTTAAAAATGAACATTTTATTGTTTTAATGAACATTTAAACGTTTCAATGAATAATTTAACGTTTTAATGAAGGTTTTAACGTTTTAATGAACATTTTAACGTTTTAATGAAGATTTTAACATTTTAATGAAAATTTTAACGTTTTAATGAAAATTTTAACATTTTAATGAACCTTTTAACGTTTTTAAAAATGAACATTTAAACGTTTTAATGAAGAATTTAACGTTTTAATGGACATTTAAACGTTTTCATGAACATTTTAACGTTTTTAAAAAATGAAAATTTAAACGTTTTAATGAAGATTTAAATTCAACAAGCATATATATATTCTGATATATATCAGATATATCTTGTTACATGATGTCAGAAGGAGACTGCTTGTTTCTACATGATATCAGAAGGAGACTGCTTGTTTCTACATGATATCAGAAGGAGGCTATTTGTTTCTACATGATATCAGAAGGAGACTGCTTGTTTCTTTATATCAGCAAGATACTGCTTGTTTCTTTATGATATCAGAAGGAGACTGCTTGTTTAAAAAAAATGAACATTTTAACGTTTTAATGAACATTTTAATGTTTTAATGAAGATTTTAACATTTTAATGAACATTTAAACATTTTAATGAACATTTTTACGTTTTTTTAAAAATGAATATTTAAACATTTTAATGAAGATTTTAACATTTTAATGAACATTTTAACGTTTTAATGAACCTTCAAACATTTTTAAAAATGAACATTTAAACGTTGTAATGAAAATTTTAACGTTTTAATGAACCTTTAAACATTTTTAAAAATGAACATTTAAACGTTTTAATGAAGAATTTAATGTTTTGATGAACATTTAAACATTTTAATGAACATTTTAACGTTTTAAAAAATGAATATTTAAACATTTTAATGAAGATTTTAACATTTTAATGAACATTTTAACGTTTTAATGAACATTTTAATGTTTTAATGAACATTTTAACGTTTAAAAAAATTAACATTTAACCGTTTTAATGAAGAATTTAATGTTTCAATGAACATTTAAACATTTTAATGATGATTTTAACATTTTAATGAACATTTTAACGTTTTAATGAACATTTAAACGTTTTAATGAACATTAAAACGTTTTAATGAACATTTTAACGTTTTTAAAAATGAAGATTTTAACGTTTTAATAAAGATTATAATTTTTTAATAAACATTTAAACGTTTTAATGAATAATTTAACGTTTTAATGAAAAATTTAACATTTTAATGAACCTTTTATTGTTTTAAAAAATGAACATTTAAACATTTTAATGAAGAATTTAACGTTTTAATGGACATTTAAACGTTTTCATGAACATTTTAACGTTTTTAAAAAAATGAAAATTTAAACGTTTTAATGAAGATTTAAACGTTTTAATGATGATTTTAACATTTTTAAAAATGAAAATTTAAACGTTTTAATGAAGATTTATATTCAACAAGTATATATATATTCTGATATATATCAGACATATATATCTTGTTTCTACATGATATCAGAAGGAGACTGCTTGTTTGTTTATGATGTCAGAAGGAGACTGCTTGTTTCTTTATGATGTCAGAGGAAGACTGCTTGTTTCTTTATGATGTCAGAAGTGTTGGTCTCTCTTCCTTTAGACCAAGCACGGGTACGGAGTAGATGGAGTTAAACACCTTTTAAGTTGACAGAACGAGGAGACAAATGATCAGAAGTCCATTCACTGTTTCGCCGCTCATGAGGGGGAGAGTCTCTGCAGCAAGTCCCGCGACCTGCTCTTGCCAGATGCTTCGGACAGACTCTCGCCGTTCTGCTGAAAACGGCTGATTTTTATTGAAGATTACAGGAATGTTACATACGTAGTTTGCCATACACACACGTAATTCTGCCATCTGCACCTGCAGACGCACGTCAGCTAATAGCCTTGTTAATGAAAGACCAATTCATCCCAAGGACATGCAACCTTGAGATGATCAGGACACATCCTGCAACATCCTTTGCTAACAAAGACAGTTGTTCTTGTATTGAGGAACTGAAGGAAGGAACGCTTTCACTCCCTTATGCAGCTGTTCAGCTTGAGCAGAAAAGGCACAGAGAGGTCTTTGATATTATAACAAGATTCCATGAAAAGGCATATAATAATGTATTTATGATAATATATAAGGGGCAAAAGTGAGAGATACATATTTAATCATATAAAAGAGCTTATAATAATATATGAAAGAGCTTATATGAGAGATATATATTTTCAATCCCCCTTTTGAACTCTTTTAAGAGTTCAATAAAGATATAAGAAATCAAAACAATAACACCAAATTCCATCAAAAAGAATCCAATAAGCAAAGTTTTAAAATACAAATACAAACAATCAATCAGGTTACAGCTTCTCATATTTCCAGCAGTAAACTAATACAAAAAAAAAACATGATCATATTTTTAACTGAACATGTTACAACATGTATGGATCGCATGCAACTCCATATGAGGGCGAAAAACCCTAATTATCATATGTTTATAGGGAAAATTCCCCCATGTCCCCCCATTTGTCATATCTCAATTTTGGGGCGAACACCTGTTGGCATAGAGTGTGCATGCCTAGGACATCAATGATCAACAAAAAATAAAACAAAACAAACAAAAAAATCATAAAAATGAACTGGTGAAGGGATGGTTACATAAATCACTGAACATTCTCACACTCTAACAACATCTTCTTCATCATGAGAGTCATCACTATCATCAGAGAGTTCCCCTCCCAAATAGATGTTAGGATTGGCTAGTAACAAGGGCATCTGGATAATTGGGTCAGCAGGTGGAGGAGAGATGGCAGTGGTGATCAATATGTGCATTCAGAATTGAGTTTGGGAATGCAATGAGTGTAAACATATATCTAATACTAAACAGGTAAATGAATAATAATATAAAATGAGTAGTGGGTATAAAATATAACCCTTGTAAAATAAATGAGGGTGTTAAATAGAACCCTTGTAGAATGTTCATAGGGTGGTTACTTCTTCCCCCTGTTGAGGACCCTTCACTGGCTCCAGGCAGCTGCAGGGGGTGATGATGTCATGATTCTCGCCCTGCAGGATGTGGTGGCAGCTTGGCATGCTACTGCAGTCAGCTACTTCTCTTCCTGGTTTTTGGATCCTTTCTCTGGTTAGGCAGATGTCAGCTGCTTCTCGTCCTGGTCCTTGGGTACTTTTTCTGGTCAGGCAGATGTCGGCTGCTTCTCTTCCAGGTTAGGCTCCTCCCGTCCAGCCGGACAGCGTGTGACGTCCTCTCCGTGATCCTGTATGGCTCGGTCCACCTCGGTTCCGTCCACTTCCTTTTGGTGACTTTTAGCAGGACCCAGACGCCTGGCACCGAAGACGAAGCCTCTTCGTGTGTGTAGTTTTGGTCCAATGAAGGCTTTCTCGACTTGTGCAGTCCAATTGATCTCGGCAGATAGTTGGTAGGAAGATTCACACTCCGGCCGGACCAGAAGTTCCCCGGACCGATCGCCTAGGGATTAAAGGTTATGCACAAAAATGTCCTAGCTCTTACTGACCCTAGCCTCTGATACCTTCAACATCAGACACATACAGTTACGAACAGCAAGCGCAATTAAAGGTACAGTGACATCACGACATGGACACACAGACACACAAACACATACACATGCACATACACAGAGAGAGAGAGGGAGAGAGTAAGAATGTGTGTGGGAGAAAGAAATGTGTGGGATCCATTTTGCCACCAGCATCTCCACCTGTGTCACAGAGAAAAAATTGCAAAGAAATTAAAACATAAAGCAAACAACAATAATTCAATGAGTATAAATGATCAAACTAAAATATACAACCATGCATGGGTTTTATAACAGTTCCAGCAACACTGGAGATGATGCCTTGTACAATGAATTCTTAAGATGTCCTTCATTAATTAGAGGTTATAACCAAATTGTTTCAGGATCCTGAATTTGAATTTGAATTGGTTAATTTACTCAGAATAGTCCAATGTCTTTGTTGATGTTTCTCAAGGCTCGGCCATGCCCATATAGATAAAATAAGCAAACAAACAAGACAAACACAGTCAAACACACGGTCCATACACGTCTCTGTGCCCTCACACACCAAGCAAATGTCAGACTGAAGCGAAAGTGTGAAATACTTAACCTAACGCTAAATCAGTGGAAAGAAAAAATAAGACCTAAAGCGTGTAATCAAATTAATCCAACAAAACTTCCCATAACTGCTGTTCTAAACTCACGTTGCAGTGTGATCTCTCCAATTAAAAATTAGGACAACCACTTTTACTATCAATTCAACCAAATAGTTTCAGGTTGTCCCTTACCTAAACTACCTGTCTTTCTTACCTTCTTTCTTTCTTTCTTTCTTTCTTTCTTTTTTAGGAACACTACTCGCACAAGAAATCCTAAGAATTAATTCACTACTTAAGGTTAATTCATAAATAACGAAACTGCAGTTACAGGTTTGTTTGTGCATAGTATTGGTAATCAGCAGTTTTTTCCTTATCTCCTCATCTAGAAGTGTTTCTGTGCTACTCCTCCATCTATAACACAAGTTAGTATCATCCTTAAAGCATCTGAAATTAAGCTGCATTGCTAAATCAATAACGTGATTTGTGCTAAGAAATACTCCCCTATCCTCTTCCTTTTTCCAGTGGCGCTGAATGACAGATTTTAGATCAATTTAACGTTTTATCACTATTACGTTTCATTTAATTAATTTTGCTTTTTCTCTCTTATTTTTGTCTATTTATTTATTTATGTTATTTACTTATTTATCATGCCATCCTGTGATGATAATCTTAAAGACTTTTTAGCCAATTGTCGTCAAAAAGGCCAATTAAAATATTATGTTAAAGATTTCACAAGATAAAAAATGTGTACATAATTTTTATCGAATGAGGGGTACCATTTATTCAATATCTTGTAACATTATTTACTACCTCACTATTGTCTCGGATGAGATGTTCCATGAATCATTTAGTCAGCTGAATGCCAAATTATTCATTTAATGTTTATTTTTATGCAATGAATGGAATGGGATGGAACGTTACTATAAACTGTCCGGAAATTTGCGCATGTTTACTCGAAGGAGAGAACTGTTGAAGCCTAAAGCGTTCTCCTAGACTTATAAATAGACACCGTTTCCTTAACCAATGAAAATAAGTGATGACGCTGATGTATTCCGTTTTGAAAAGAAAATAAGGCTTTACTGCATGTCCGCTGCAGCTGATAATCCTAAGACAATAAAGATTATATTGACGTCCAATGGTGAGTTGGGCTGAAATCCAGGTTACTAATCCTATTATTTATTTATTTATTGATATTATTATTATCTTTTTTTAGGCTAACTTTCTCAGTTAACTATGTTCTACAGTAGTTTAGTAAATTTTCCACAGTTCTGACATTTCATCAATTCAACTGGTTGTTGCCAAAAAGCCTTGTTCATTACCTGACTGCAGCAAGCACTCTTTTACTGGGTGTAACCATAGGAAACAGTCTCTTTTGAGCCTTTCTTTGTAAGTCCAGGATGACCACCGTCATTGATTAAAGTTCACATGTTAGCACACATGCTCCCCCTTTTGTACTTTGTTTCATCAGCAGCAGGGCAAATAAGTTTCTGCCTCTTTGTCCATCTTGTAGTGCTCCCCGTCTTTATGTTATGAGTCACAGCTTTTGGTGAGGGCTTCCAGGTTCTCTTTGGTGAGGGCTTCCAGGTTCTCTTTGTATAGAAGTCAGAGCCAAACATTCTTTGCAGCTGGTTGTGACAGGCCCACCCAGTAAAGTTCATGCCTGCCACAATGCACAGCAAACGTTTTCCTTAAATATGTTGATTGAGTTAAAATGACAGAACTTTCTCTTTTACAAATCAAAATCAACGATGGTTTCTAATATTTAGTCGACTTTATTGACTCAAAGGTAAATCTAGACTACTTCCTATGCACAATTTTTCTGAATCGTCAAGTCGGTTCTACACAGGTTTTAAACTTTAGGCACAATCTATCCCAAATGCAAGATCCCTCCTTTCATTTTTTGTTTATCTATTTTATTTTGGGAAAATAACTACCAGTTTTTAACTCAAAACAGCCTAGTACAGTTTCTAGCCAGGTTACAGGAAATAATACTTAGTTTATCTGTTTTTTCATTATTCAGCATCTCAAAATCCAGCCATTAACGTTAATGGTTCTTAAAGTTGAGGCAAGACAATTATTGGATTTTGTTTTATAGCAAGATTTAACAAATATTTTATTTCCTTACTGATTATTTGTTAATTTTATGGTTTTCATAAAGATGATCCTGAGAGGTTCAGAGCTGCTTTTCGCAGCACCCTGTGCTATTTTTAGACTGCGGAACTCCTGTGTGTAAAAGTGGGTGGAGTCAGGTCCCCAGGCTGAAACTCCAGTCATTCTCACTAGATCTGTCCGAGAGGAAGGATCTCCTGAATACCCTAACCAGAAGCCTTAAGGTACGTCCAAAACACCGAAAAATATCCTTTCTAAAGTCACAAATGGCTTAAAACTGCATGTTACACAGAAAAACTGTGAGAGCGAGGGAGTCCAGCTGACTCCACGGCCCATAATCAGACAAAATACTTCCTTTATAACCACGACCATACAACTTTTGTTTTTTAAGGGATTTTCTTGTCCTCACACTAACGATAAATTCTTTTTCTATTGTTTCCACAGTCTCTTGAACTAAATAACCGTCTAGCAAAAACATGGACCGCACCCTGTTTCTCAAGCAGCTGCTCCCTCTATTAAAAACTGAGTCATTCAGAAGATCCAGCGAAAGCAGCTCATGCAAGAAGACACACATTCACTCATTCACAAGGCACAGAGACATTCTTTGTTTGTCACAGTCTCTTTTTATTATTATTATTATTTTTTTAAGGTAAGTCAGTTCGTCACTTATTTATTCTCTCTCTATATATATATAATATTTTAAGCACAGAATTTATTTAACACTGCACTGGTTATTTTCAGAATTTAATGCTTACTATGCTTTTAAGCAGGCCTTATGTAACATTAGAGCAAATCCAATTGCAATTTTTTTGAGAGCGCTCTGAGGAATAGTTTATATATTTATTTTCTGCAGATCTGTTTTGATTTTACTGTTTAGCAGCTATATGACTATATTTCTAAAATAAAGCTGTCATTTACATCCTTACTTGCGTTTCTTGGTGGTTTTTTCCCTTTTTTCATCTCCAGGTCACTTAACCCCCAGATCGGGGTCACTCACATGCTGCCCCACACACAAATGATTATCACGCTTCTACACTACATATGTATATATATGTATACACATATACATACATACACACATACATATGCATATGTTACTTTAAAAACCTTTTATTTATTAACTTATGGTGTTCTGTTCAAAGACTGATCAGAACAGGGTTGCAGAATTTGAATTTTGCGTAGCTCCAAACATTAATTTTTAGCACTGCAGTGTAATTTACATATACGAGTTGCAACTTTTTAAAGCTCTTATTTATCTTATTTATTTATTTTCTGGTACCGCATCAGGCCTTCACACACACACCCAGCGCTGTACACTCACACACACACACACACGGAGCTCCCAAAACTCTGCTCTGCATTCTGCACTCTCCTAGTGCTGCACTTTCAATCCAGAGCCGTAAGCAGCCTCTTGCTGCGCCTCACACACACAGGCTGAACTCAGCTTACACACACAGTGAAGCTTGTCTACAGCTGTGCCTTTTTTCTCTCGATTCTGCAGCCTTCACTTCCCAAATCTTTCTCCAGTTACCTCTACTGTTAACATCTACCCCTTTTTCTTCATCGCCTCTTCCGCTGACTTTCTCAATAAAACCTTATTTCTCGTGGCTTCAACTGGGCTGCTTGTCATATTTAAACATTGCTCATTTTATGCAAAAACAGCCAAAAGCATGCAGAAATAGCCAAAAGCACTGCTCTCTTCACACAGAAGCAGTCAAAACATTTATCATCTTATGCAAAAACAATTACCTCAGAACATTTTTCTCATCTCATGCAAAAGGTCCTTGACCTTAAAATCCAGGGAGCTCTCTTTTAGCCTCCCCTTCCCTTAACACAAAAAAACCAGGTCCTTGACCTGTGGACTTTTAGGGTTCCCACACCTATGGATCCAGCCAAGCTTTATATAACCTTGTTATATATTCTATCCGCTCGTCAGCAAATAGTGTGGTCAGCCACGACCTGGAAAATGGAATTTAGGACCTTGTCCTGGGCCTCCAACCCTTCTTTAAATGGAATTTAGAGCTTATTAATGCTCTGGGCCTCCAACCCCTATGGAATTTAGAGCTTATTAATGCTCTGGGCCTCCAACCCCTTTTTCTGTACTATTTCCTTTTCTCATTTACTCATTAAATCATTAGAAAATCCTCATTTCATTTCACCATTAAACCATTACAAAAAATCTCTTATTCTTTCTGCACTTGTCTCCACTTTCTTCTCCAACTATTATTTTAGGACCACAGCTACTATGATTCCGGACACAAAAGGCTTTGGATAAATCCAATGAGCAGATTTTAGAAAATAAGGTTCTGCTCACCTTGTTTTCCACCGCGGTGTTCTGTGCCAAGATCGTTCACTGGGTCGGTTGGTCAAATTGTCCTCCAAAAACTCCTTTTTCTTCAAAAAGAAAAAATCCTGTTCGTGACGCCAAATTTGTTGGTCTCTCTTCCTTTAGACCAAGCACGGGTACGGAGTAGATGGAGTTAAACACCTTTTAAGTTGACAGAACGAGGAGACAAATGATCAGAAGTCCATTCACTGTTTCGCCGCTCATGAGGGGGAGAGTCTCTGCAGCAAGTCCCGCGACCTGCTCTTGCCAGATGCTTCGGACAGACTCTCGCCGTTCTGCTGAAAACGGCTGATTTTTATTGAAGATTACAGGAATGTTACATACGTAGTTTGCCATACACACACGTAATTCTGCCATCTGCACCTGCAGACGCACGTCAGCTAATAGCCTTGTTAATGAAAGACCAATTCATCCCAAGGACATGCAACCTTGAGATGATCAGGACACATCCTGCAACATCCTTTGCTAACAAAGACAGTTGTTCTTGTATTGAGGAACTGAAGGAAGGAACGCTTTCACTCCCTTATGCAGCTGTTCAGCTTGAGCAGAAAAGGCACAGAGAGGTCTTTGATATTATAACAAGATTCCATGAAAAGGCATATAATAATGTATTTATGATAATATATAAGGGGCAAAAGTGAGAGATACATATTTAATCATATAAAAGAGCTTATAATAATATATGAAAGAGCTTATATGAGAGATATATATTTTCAGAAGGAGACTGCTTGTTTCTTTATGAGATCATCAAGGCACTGCTTGTTTCTTTATGATATCATCAAGGTACTGCTTGTTTCTACATGATATCAGAAGGAGACTGCTTGTTTAAAAAAATGAACATTTTAACGTTTTAATGAACATTTTAATGTTTTAATGAAGATTTTAACATTTTAATGAACATTTAAACATTTTAATGAACATTTTTACGTTTTTTAAAAATGAACATTTAAACGTTTTAATGAAGATTTATATTCAACAAGCATATATATATTCTGATATAAATCAGACATATATATCTTGTTTCTACATGATATCAGAAGGAGCCTGCTTGTTTCTTTATGATGTCAGAAAGATACTGCTTGTTCTTTATGATATCAGAGGCAGACTGCTTGTTTCTTTATGATGTCAGAAGGAGACTGCTTGTTTCTTTATGATGTCAGAAAGATACTGCTTGTTTCTTTATGATGTCAGAGGCAGACTGCTTGTTTCTTTATGATGTCAGAAGAAGACTGCTTGTTTCTTTATGATGTCAGAAAGATACTGCTTGTTTCTTTATGATGTCAGAGTTAGACTGCTTGTTTCTTTATGATATCAGAAGGAGACTGCTTGTTTAAAAACATTTTAACGTTTTAATGAACCTTCAAACATTTTTAAAAATGAACATTTAAACGTTGTAATGAAAATTTTAACGTTTTAATGAACCTTTAAACATTTTTAAAAATGAACATTTAAACGTTTTAATGAAGAATTTAATGTTTTGATGAACATTTAAACATTTTAATGAACATTTTAATGTTTTTAAAAATGAATATTTAAACATTTTAATGAAGATTTTAACATTTTAATGAACATTTTAACGTTTTAATGAACATTTTAGTGTTTTAATGAAAATTTTAACATTTAAAAAAATGAACATTTAACTGTTTTAATGAAGAATTTAACGTTTCAATGAACATTTAAACATTTTAATGATGATTTTAACATTTTAATGAACATTTTAACGTTTTAATGAACATTTAAACGTTTTGATGAACATTTTAACGTTTTAATGAATCTTTTAACATTTTTGAAAATGAAGATTTTGACGTTTTGTGAAGATTTTAACGTTTTAATGAGCATTTAAACATTTTAATGAACATTTAAACGTTTTAATGAACATTTAAACGTTTTAATGAACATTTTAACGTTTTTAAAAATGAAGATTTTAACGTTTTAATAAAGATTATAATTTTTTAATGAACATTTAAATGTTTTAATGAACATTTTAACATTTTTAAATATGAACATTTTATTGCTTTAATGAACATTTAAACGTGTTAATGAATAATTTAACGTTTAATTAAAATTTTAACATTTTAATGAACCTTTTAACGTTTTAAAAAATGAACATTTAAACATTTTAATGAAGAATTTAACGTTTTAATGATGATTTTAACGTTTTTAAAAATGAAAATTTAAACGTTTTAAAGAAGATTTATATTCAACATGCATATATATATTCTGATATACTCTCAGAAATAGGGGTACCAAAGTGTACCAAAAAGGGTACAAACGCTTGTCGCTGGGGGTGTTCCTTTTTGAGGGACATTTCTGTACCCTTTAGGCTTGGTACATTTTTGTACCTTATGAAGATGTACCATCTGAAGTACAGTCATGTACTTTCCTAAGACATAAATGTACCTTCAAACTATAGTACAGAAATGTTCCCTTGAAAAGGGTACAATAAGGTACCTATGAGGGTACCCCCCCAGCGACAACCTATTTCGTACCTAAAGAGACAAAAATGTACCCCCAATACTCCAAAATATTTGGTTATTTAACCATTTATTTTCGATAATACAATTACATCGAGGCATTTAAACAACCACAGGAATACATCCTTCATTACATTTGTATATTGCCATAGAACATCTCAGGAAAAATACATTCATTTTAAAAAAAGTAAACAATCACATTAAACACCTGAACACAATGTTTTGACGGATCACAGAGATGGCATGTATTTAAAAAAACTGTCCACACAAATGTTTTGCTCTACTTCAACAAGCCAGAATATATATATATATATATATATATATATATATATATATATATATATATATATATATATATGTAATAAATATAGACAAAGTGGGAAATGTGCTTGCAATCACGTCACACATTTGAGAATAAAGCTAAATAAATGATCTCCTAAATTATCAAGCAAACTGTCCATACTAGGTGGTGTGGGCTGCTGAAATGTGTGTGTCTCGTCTGAACTGTGTGTGTGTGTGTGTGTGTGTGTGTGTGTGTGTGTCTTCAACCTCTTTGTGTGCATGGTTTTCAAATCCATCTTCAACTACCTCAAGGCTATTCAAAACAGAGGGTTTGTGTTTGCGATACACATGGCGTCGAAAAGAGTGATACGTGCAAAAAGCTGCCTGGCAGTCATTTATTCCACAAGTGATGCTGAAATGAGCCTCATGTGTGTGTACTAACCCAACATGTGTAATCAACTTCCTCAGAGTAAATGCCCTTTTTGAACATTTTGAACATTTGTAGAGTGGGGGCATTTTTAATAGAGTTGGTTAAGTACCCTGGTGACACTTACTGGAAGGGGTTTGTCTCCCTGGTCTCCTATGTTGACAATGCAGTTCTGAAGAAAGACAAGTGTTTTCTTGAAGTATGCAGGGTAGGTCATGTTGAACACGAAGAAGCTGGAGAATGCTGAGATGTAGGCCTCATCCAGCGAGCGGCACGAGCAAACATACACTCCTTTAACTGTCACAACACCGCAACACTGTCTTGAGAGGGCAGCTGTCCAATTCTTATCCTTCATTCGAATGGTTGGGTATGGACTCGTGGGAGTATTCTGCAGA